CAGGAGGGTACGGTGTGCCTTCACACTCTCCATCTGCACGCAACGTTTGTCCGTCTGTCATCTCTGCAGAAAGACACGTTGACAGATAAAACGCTGGCGGCAACGCACAACTGAACAGCTTCAACTATTTAGAGGACAATCGCTTAAAAAGGAAGGCAGTGCTATTCAACTGGCAGCCCTCGGGCCACATCCGGCCAGCGTGGGACCGAAATCCATCCCGCCGATTGGTTCGTTAATTTCTTAAGCTAAAGCTCACGGTTTTCTACTTCAATAAGTTCTTTTAGTTAGACATAGTCATGTGTGGTGTCTACAGAAACGTCAGAATCTTGGTTAAAAGCTGGTAAAAATCGTTTCTATGAACATCCAAGACAGTCGATACTTTAAGCCACTGAAGATAAAACTAAGATAGGTAAAAATAAAATTGGTTTAAAAATGTGGCAAGTAAGAGACGTCAAAATATTTGTGTCAAATGGGAAGCATATTATTATTTTTTGAATATTGTTTTAATATCACTACTTTTATTACGTAGGGATCTGTGTGTTGTATTCATGATTAAGGCCCTGTTATTAGACAACTTATGCAACATTTTATGTCTAAATTGCTAACAAAAGTTATATATTTGATCGATTTGTTTGAATTACAGTACGTACATGCCAAAAAAAAGCTTCCTGTTTATTTTAATTCCATCTTCAATGTAGTTGTCTTTAAAATGTTCATAAGTTGGCATAAGTTGTCTAGTGTGACAGGGCCTTAAATGCAACAAAATAAACTAATTCAAAGGTAACAGATCTTTGTAATAGTTTATTTACATAAAGACTTTAATTTGCTGGATGTTTGGCTCCAGAGCAATTTACAATAGCCCTGCTTTAAGGTACTGTACTAATGTCGACTGTTTTTGAAAATTCAAAAGCTCTAACTCACATTAAAGAGCAGAATCTGATGCCAAAAGTCACCATGAATAAGATATCACATTTTAATGACACCAAAAACATGATTACAATGTTTAGGGACAATATTTTTTTAAAACTAAATGATGACAGACTGTACAAGATTGTCGATACGAAGATAAAATCGATAAAATTTGTATATTTTGTCAGCACATATACAGTATCTTACAAAGACATGAACATTTGCTACATAGCTTACATTATGACTATAACACAAAATCCATTCATGCAATATAATGCCCAATTATATGGAAAAAATAAACATGTCAAGAATAAAATAAATTAGAAAACATCTTTTTTTCCAGTCCCAATACAATTTAGCATTTACAATATTTTGCAAGCCAATAAGTTGCTGAAGCTTTTTGTTTAATCTAAAGCACTCCTAAATTATTTAACTTATTATTTAACTTCAGTCGTATTTTATTCCATACATACAAGTGGTAAGTGCATATATACAGTTTAATGGCAGTCCTTTAGCTTTGATGTATTACAAGCTTAAACACAAGAGAGCTATTTTACTTAAAGGAATTAATAATGAAAAGATTAAACATTAAAATGAAGAGGGTGAGACAAACTCAATGTATTTTTAGATAAACACTCATACTAGTTGGATCTATGTTGTGTATGTGAATCACAGTAATAGTACATCACGGGTATCAAATTATTATTTTTTCTTGAAAAAGAAAGTGGAAGCTTGAATCCCTGGCTTGCACTTGGCAGATATATCAGAAAGCAACATAAAAAAAGAGCACTAAAAGAATTATTTATAAAAATATATTTATACATTGCCCTTCTTTAACAATTTGTGCAAAAATAAATGGCAAAAAGATAAAAAAAAAACAAGAACCTGATATTAATCGATGATTTCAATCACACATTTCCTGTCATGATTATAAAAACGTCTTTCTAAACTGTTTGATTTTCTGTTCCTAAAAGAATTGAAGGCTTGTAAAGTCATATTTCACATCAATACAGTTTATTTTTATTATTGTTTGGTCGAAACATCTTCAGAGTTTTCCCTGTTTTTAATCTCAAAGGCTGAAGCGTATCTTTCAGCAAGCACCTAAATAGAAAATGGCTGAAACCAAAATCTTATCTTAGCATATCATTTTACATAGCCCCCCCCCCAAATTCATAAGCACACGCAGACACGTCGAGACGGACACCTGAGAGGAAAGAGAACTGCTCGAGCTCAGTGCTGAGGTTTTGTTGTAGCCGATTTCTTTTAGGATCAATTCAAAAACGATACATCCAACACCTACCAACAATTGAATCAAGGTTTTAGCACCAATAAAACATAATTATCAAGAACATTAATTTAAAAAGTAAGTTTTACTAGAATCATTTTGTTAATAATTACCGGTAGTTTACTCAAAGCAGTAACCGATAGCAGTTACTTGTTTTACTTCATTTTTTGCAATAGATCCAAATAAATTGCAAACAATTATTGTTTGGAGTTGCCTAAAATTCTAATTATTAATGAAAATTTAAAGAATGCAAGTTGTTTAACCACAAACTACGCAGCAAAGTGTACAAACTCACTGTACAAACCTTAACATGTACTAAGAGCTGTGTGTTCAAGCAAACTGAGTCATCACATTTATAAAGCTGCACTATGAGTGTGTGATGCTTTCAGAAGGCACTAAAACTCAACCACACAGTATCAAATTAAGAAAAACGTTCTAGCTGTAAAGGTTTGGACATACGCTTTCCAAGTCATTATTTAAATGCGTCACATTTCATTAAAAAGAGAGTAAAAGCATAAATATGTGTATCAAAACCTAGAACCAAATATTCAATACCTAATTTTCCGGGGATGGAGTGCCTCTAATGTCAGTTAATGAGCTTGTTGTATTAGCTGTGTGCTGCAATATATAACTTTTTTTTATTTAATGTGGCTTAACGTCAAATCAAACATAACATTTATTTCACTTTTAAGATGCTTTCGATCAGTTTGTCTTTTCAGCTTTAAATTCTAAATCCTTGCCTCWCTAACATGAGACCACAGATGCCCTGGAGCAAAACGTCAGTAGAGAACAGATGTAGTGTATGCTGTATACTCAGAGATCCATAATCCATTACATCATAGTGTCTGCAGAGGCGTCCCATCTTAAAGTTAAAGGATTTCAGATGAATTCTCTTACTTTTAAGCTCTCTAAATCTGGTAAAAGACTAAAAGAAACCTGTGACATATCTGATGATCCTCCAAAGATCCATGAAATTTGGAAAGAATTACTTGAAGCCTCCGTGATATCCTTCACGCTGAGCTCTTCAGCTGTCTGAGAGCCAAGCGAAGCTAAAAGGAAGCAAACCAAAACAGGAAATGCCACCATTCTTCAGGAAGTGAAGAAGCGGCCAGTGACAGCATCTGTCGGATGGTTCAGAACAGGAGCAGACCTAAAGAGGACCAATTCTATCAGTTTTATGTAACGGTACGTTACACTCATCTGTTTAAAAGATCCCACTTGTCATTCAAGTTGACATCAACTTTTTTTCCCCTTAAACACAGCACCCAGACAGCAGCTGGACTTTGAAGAGGGGCTGTCAGCTCGATGGGAGCAAACACCAGCAGCCATGATCCTTGCCAAATTTGCAGATACAGCAAAGTTTCTCTTGGCTCAGTTCGGCTTGTGCCTGAGATGTACTGTAAAAAGTTAACCCACTATGACCCAAAGCTTTGGTTGGAAAGAGGCATTTAAAAAGTTGGGCAGCTTTCACTGAAAAGGTAGTATCTCACTGGGTTGCAAATGTCAAGTGTTTGAAAAATCACTGCCTACTTTTGTGTGCATGGTTTGCAAAACTGTATTCTAACTGTGCACATTATTTTGTTGCCACATGGTTCACCTTGGCATGTTTTGTGTAACTAACCCCAAGTTTATGACTAAACCCACAGGAGTAAACTGTAGCAAATTTGGACAAGTAATTCAGTGGTGAGGGTTTTAGATCTGGACATTTGAGGCTGCTGAATCCATGGTCCCTCCCAGCTGCAGAAAGACCAGATGTTCCCCCMCTCCTTATGGTTTCAAACCCAAATACCAACACATTCTCACTCCCAAATCATCAACATATTGAYGCTTGGTCAGGTAGCCTTTTGCGTCCAGTTTTGACGCGCCGGGTACCCCCTGCGCATCAATTTTTTACGAGATGAGGCGGTGGAGGACAAGCGCGTTGTCATTCTTTTTTTTTTTTTTTTGAAGAGTACGAAATGCGCAAAACTAACCATCCCAGACCCAAAATTTAACTTCTATTAGCCATATACAGCCTATCCCCGAACTCAGTACCTAAAATTAACCATTAATCCTGATCCTTCATATTAACCTCCGACCCAAACCCAAAGACCCCTTTGTGTCGCAACCCGGAAAAGCCGCGGGCGGCAAGGACTGACGCGCGGGGGGGGTACCCGACGCGTCAAAACTGGACGCAGACGGTCCCTGAACAAGCGTCAATATGTTGACGTGTCAGGAGTGAGAACGTGTTACAAATACAGGAGAAGTGTTGGACATTAAAGCAAACCCATACAAATTCATTGTTCTAAACATTTTAAGGGTGTTTTTACTCAAATGGTCTCTTCCACATTAATCCTCTCTCCTACCACATTTATTACCATTACTTACACTTGACCAGTTATGCAAATTAGGTGACTTTTTTTTAGGATCTTTTAGGACAAACAAATACTACTTTCCTTACAGAGGAGTTGGTAACAGTGCCAGTGAGATACTACCGCAAATTGTTGCCATCCTGTTTATCGCCGTTCAAAAAAAATAATAATAATGGTTTGTGTTGAAAATGTTGAGTAAATTTCTCTGTGCTTGAAAGTTAAAATCATGCATATACAGGGGTTAGAGAATGAAACTGAAACACCTGTCATTTTAGTGTGGGAGGTTTCATGGCTAAATTGGACCAGCCTGGTGGTCAATCTTCATTAATTGCACCAGTAAGAGCAGAGTGTGAAGGTTCAATTAGCAGGGTAAGAGCACAGTTTTTCTCAAAATATTGCAATGTACACAACATTTTGGGTGACATACCAGAGTTCAAAAGAGGACAAATTGTTGGTGCACGTCTTGCTGGTGCATCTGTGACCAAGACAGCAAGTCTTTGTGATGTATCAAGAGCCACAGTATCCAGAGTAATGTCAGCATACMACCAAGAAGGACCAACCACATCCAACAGGATTAACTATGGATGCAAGAGGAAGCTGTCTGAAAGGGATGAAATGGTCTAAAACCAGGTGTTTCACTTTCATTGTCTAACCCCTGTAAGTCAAATAAGAATATATTGGGTAGAATCACTCCCGCAGACGAGCAATGTTTCTCTTTAAAATTTGCGATGAATATATATTGTGAGGTGTATTTTAGGTCCACTTTTTAAATAATCTTTAAAATATCCAGGAACAAACCATATTTGATGATTACTTTTCCATATATCTCATCGGGTTGGCTTCTTACTTCACATTCATCATCGCTTCCATTTTGAATAAGTCCATCTTCAAACAACACGCATCTGCAACAGAAGTCGCTTGATCCAAAGTTTGTGTTCATGAATTGGCAACACCTCTTGCAGGTTTTTTTTTTGTTCGTTACGTAAGGCTTGAAGAGTTACTGCATGACCAGGTCTGCACGTGTCCATGAAATGCTTGCTCACCTCGCCACTAACACTGGAAGTGAATGTGCTGATGCTGGTGCACTTTCCCGTCCACATGTGAATGTGTGTGCGTGTGAATGTCCGTGTAGATTTTCGGGTAGGCCTTGGGAGCCAACCCGGCCCCTCCCTGAGCCAGGAGCAGCTGCTGATGGGCAACGTACTCCTCGTAGGAGAGACAGTCTTTATCTCCATTGGCCGTTTGAGAGGGGAGCGCTGGGCAGGCCCGGTCACGAGTGGCCACAGGTAGACGCTGAGCGGCAGGGATAGCGGAGGACGAGGAGGACGAGGAGGAGGAGCAGGTGCGTTTTGACTGGTAGAACCAGAGAAGGGCAGTGCCTAAGATGAAGGCGACGCCTGCTGGTATTCCAATAATCACGGGCCAAGGGAGGCTTGGGGAYGTTGGTGCGGGGACAGTACTGGGTTGAGACTTCTTGTCTGCAGTGGAGGGAGAGATGCAGAAATTAATTTCAGCTGAATGATAAACAGTATGCACAATAACAATKTAACTAGTCAGCTTAATATGATGAAGGCATGTTAGTGAAGACAGATAGCCATGTAATAGATGTGGCTCTAAGTCAGGGCTATTCAACTGGCAGCCTGCAGGCCACATCTGGTCCGCGAGAGTCCAAAGTTCGGCCAGCCAATTGATCCATTCATCTTTTAAGCCCAAACCCCCAGTTTTGTACTTTAATTACTATAAGTTCTTTTAGTTCAACATAGACATGTTTGGTATCTACAGAACAGCGAGAATCTTGGCTGAATAGTTGAATAGCCCTGCTCTAAGCTAAGTGTTGAATTTCAAAGTAAAGAAGTAAAAGTATATTTTTTATGTTTTGAATGTAACAAAATAAAAGAAAAATTTATGATAAAAAATACTTTGTAATACTATCTCAAAAAAATTACTTAAATACGGTAACAATATTTGTTGCCTCTGGGGTCCATTTTTAATAAATATAAGATTCCTTTCCATTGTTTTTCTGACGACATTCAGGTCTACCTGTCTATCAAGCCAGTTTTAATTCATTCATTCAAATCACTCCTGAGCTGTCTGAATGAGATAAAAATCTGGCTGAAATTAAGTTTCCTGAATCTAAATGAAAGTAAGACAGAAGCCATCAGCTTTGGTACAGACATTTCTCCTGACAATCTTGGTCCTTTGGCTTCATACAGCTGCTCTGCTGTCAGAAATTTGGGTTTCATTTTTGATAATGTGTTCAAATTGGACAGGCAGATWAACTCAGTGGTTAAATCGAGTTTTTTCCAACCAAGACTTATTGCTAAGGTGAAGCCATACCTCCCAAACAAAGACCTTGAGAAAGTGATTCATGCTCTCATTACAGCTCGTTTGGATTATTGTAATTCTTTGTATGTAGATTTAGATAAATCTTCTCTGCATCGATTACAAGTTGTCCAGAACGCAGCAGCTCGTCTTTTAACAGGAACTAAAAAAATACGAACACATATCCCCGGTTCTGACTTCTCTCCATTGGCTTCCTGTTCATTTTAGGATAAATTTAAAGATTTTATTGCTTACTTTTACAGCTTTAAAAGGTCTGGCCCCATCGTACCTGTGTGATCTCATTAACATCCATACTTCTGTTAGAGCACTTCGGTCCAACCATTTTCTCTTAGATGTACCTAGATCCAGGCTAAAGTTTGGAGGTGTTTGCGGTCCCTTAGCTTGCCTCTTAGCATACAGACTGCTGAGACTGTTGAGACTTTTAAATCTCTACTTAAAACTCACTTTTACTCCCTGGCCTTTCATTCTGGTAGAGTTTGAGAACTGTGAAGCACTTTGGCCAACTTTTGTTGTTTTTATGTGCTATATAAATAAAATTGACATTGACATTAACAAAGTAAATAGGGCTGCACAACATTAGGAAAACCTGTGATGTGCGATAACCGTTCTTAATATTGCTAAGACAAAATGATTYGCAATAAATGAACAAATATATAAGCATGTAGTGTTGATGTCTCTGCTCTGTGTTCTGAGCAAAAAAAAAGAATGAATTTTTAAAAAATATAAAGAGATCCATCCAGTTGGCCAAATACGTGAAGGGCTCCATTTGATTAGTAAAATACTTCAAACTTGCATCTGAGTGACAAAATGCATRAATGCAAATTTTTGAGCCAACCATTTATGCATTTCTTTGCAATATGCATATTGCACAGGCTGTTATCATGATGACGAGAATATTTCAATTTATTGTGCATCCCTAWGTAAATGTGCTTCACTCTTTTTAAGTAATGTCTCTTTCTTGCTCTGACCTGGCAGCACAGTGAGGTAGGCACTCCTGAAGCTGTATCCCATGGTGTTGGCTCCCAGGCAGATGTACATGCCAGCATCATCCTCCTTGGCTCTGGTTATGAGCAGCTTGTTCAGGTAGGAACCATCTGGTCGCGACCAAACCTCTCCTGTAGGCAGCACGACGAAGCGATGGTCTCCGACCTTCGAACAAACCCAAACACAGTTACAAAAAAAAAGTCATTTTGTATAAATGACTAATTTCTGAAGAGGATTTCGACGCCCCGTGTGTTTCTACCTCGATGGTGGAGTTGAATTTGTTCTCGTCGCCAGGTTCGACTCTCTTCAGCCACTGGATGACGGGCTTGACGTCGCTGCGGACCTTACACTGGAAGGACGTGGTTCCTCCATAGTCCACAGTGGTGTTGACGGGGTGAGTGCCAGTTAGGATGGGCTTAGAGTTGGTGCGCTCTGAGAAAGAGAGACAAAACGCACTCGTTTACTCTAATAAAGTTAGCAAAAAAAGTAAGGAAATTTTGTGTTTGGTAGGTTATTTSTTTGTTGTAACAATACTTCTTGGCAGTAAATCTTACACCGTTGAAAAACCTGTTGATTTATCAATTAAATRGTGCTGCATTTGTAAGGAACATGCATTTGTGTGATGAGCAATAGAGTATGTGGGTTGTGCACATGAAAAATGTGTTAATTCTCTTCCAAACAGCTCATTCGGCCATCGCTATTCACTTGTTTCGAGCTTCTAGTACCTCCAGGTGCTGCCAGTCAGATGATCACTATACGATTTATTGGCAAGAAATCATACAACAAAGAAATAATCTACCAAGCACACATTTGTTACTTTTAGTGCTAAGTATATATACCTATTTACAAAATATCTRGAATTTACAGGGAAAAAAATGTAGATTTGATACATGATGGCTGCTAATATGATGAAAATTADCAGATTAGCTTCCACCARTTATATTRCCTGTGTAGCCTAGCTGCAGCAGAGTTAAAGCTATGTTATTTAGCTTTAAAATTATTTTCAAATCAGAGCTTTTAGATATTTTTTGACATTAAATTGTTAGAAATCTTCTCCACTCCAAAATAATTTGCTTCTTAACAGGCTTCATTCCTCCTTTGACCTAAACTTCCTTCTCCCCATTTTTTATATCTGTACATGACTGACAGCCGATTGAATCTCAACCGAAAGAGAAAATGTCACGTCTGACATTAGCAAGCAGAAGTTTGATTTACCTCTTTTTTTTATTTGTGTGTGGATGTGTGCTCACAAGTGTGAGTGTGTAACTGTCTTTTGGGAAAACCTACAGCTGTAGTCTAATGTAGAGCAGATGYTGCAAGGAAAGCCGGTGTCAAGAGAGCTGGTTTGAGCCTCTCAACAGAGCTGTTAGATTTAGTTGCGCACAGCTCCTTGCACACACACACACACACACACTAAAATCCAGTTGTCCAACAAATGGTTCGGCATTAAATCATCGAGCTTCACAACAGCTTTTTGCAGCCTTCCAACACGACCTAAGGCATCAACGAGCACCACTCCTCTCAGCGCACATCCAGCTCTGAGCAGTAAAAACTGAACCTTTTCAGACTGAAGCTGCAGCCAGCTCACAGTCCGGACGGAAACAAAAATCCTACGCTGAACATTTCTCGCTCGCTTCAATGAGATTTACTGACGGCGCTGGAGGTGATCGATAAATAAAGCACTCGAGGAAGGCTTTTAATAGCTCATTTAAACTTCTATATTTGGAATGGGGAAAAAAAACTGGAACATTGATGAATATTGGCATCCATCACAAGACCTAAAAGACTAAATTTAACAGTCTCCTTTCCCTATAGATGAAAAGTTTAAAAAATGTTCTTAATATACAAAATTTGTCCGATAGAAGAGAAAGCTAAACTCCAATCTTTCTACGTAATCCAAAAGGCCTCTCAGTGTAACAGTGACACCAAAGTTCTCTTGTTATTGTTTAGGTATAAAGAATTATTTGGGATATTTGAGCTTAACATGGAAACAACACAGATACACTATGTGAGGACTGCGTTTCCCACTAAGTACATTTAATTTAATTGAATGTAATTAATTAATTAAATTTTCTCCTCGTAAAATTACACAGTGTAATTTTCAGTGAGGTTATAATAATTATGGACACATATGTTGTAGGGGTGCAACGATACAGAAAATTCACAATACGATTCGATACTGAGTATCACAGTTTGATATTTTTTTCGATACAAAAAAAGTGAAATTCCCATGTACTTTTTAACTTCTGTTTTATTTTAAATAATTATGAATATTTGTTTATTCTCAAAAGTACRGTTTTTAAATTAAATGTTGCTGAAACAGCAAGTTTCTTAGTGGATCTGCGCTCAGCAATGCAGCCTAGGTGGAGTAGTCGAACACAGATCCGCTGATCCTTTAACACAGAGCATCTTCAGAAGACAAGCTGATAAAATAAATTTAAAAAACCTGTATTGTTCAATACAAGTGTGTATATGTAAAGCACTGTATTGAATGGTTCAATATGGGTACATGTATTGTTGCACCCCAATATGTTGTTGTTTATTGTGTTTTCTTTCTGCTTTTTGTCTTCTCTCTTTTTGCAGGTGCAGAGTCAGACTACAAATGTGTTGTCTTGTGTTAACGCTTGTTTCTCTTTTAAATCTCTTCACTTTTCTTTTCTGTTTTCTTTTCTGATTCCGCGTCTGTTGTATGAAAAACAATTCCAAAAGAATTTCTAATAAAATTTAAATATATATCAAGAGGAGCATCATGGTGTAYRGAGCCCGCGAGGGGACATGGGGGATWTTTTTTTCTTTTTGCGTTCTCGCGCAAAAGTAGTTTATCACTGTTGTGCCTGCCGGTTTATTAACAAACTCACATGTTCACTATTAGCGAGTTAGCTACTGCTTTAATTCAGCTTCAGAATGAATATATCATACAGCTACGCATGGAAGTATGTCATATGCCGATATTTAAACACAGTGCAGCCACGCAACAATTTCACAAACTTGTGGCGAGACATTCTGTTTTGGTAACTGGATATTTCAAAATAAATGTCTGATTTAATTCAGTTCATATGCAAATCAAACTTTTGCGTGGGAACGCAAAGCAATATTGCGAGGTAACGCAAAAGTATTACGAGGGAACGCAAAAGTATTGCGACGTAACACAAAAGTATTATGAGGGAACGCAAAAGTATTGCGAGGTAACGCAAAAGTATTGCGAGGGAACGCAAAGATATTGCGAGGTAACGCAAAAGTATTGCGAGGTAACGCAAAAGTATTGCGAGGGAACGCAAAAGTATTGCGACGTAACGCAAAAGTATTACGAGGGAACACAAAGGTATTGCGAGGGAACGCAAAAGAAAAAAATCCCCCCATGTCCCCTTACGGGCTCCGTAATGGTGAAAGCCATTATGCTGCACTTGTGAAAGTAAAACTGTTGGGCTTAATCTTGACAGTCAGACATTAATTCTGAGTTTCATACTGCCGGACAGGCCTTGGTTAAAAAAAAAAAAAAAAGGAAACAACTCATATGTCCAAATGCTAAATATTGCACAAGCATGTTTTTGAAACCCGTCATCCTACTGAACACATATTAGTGGCCACTTTATTGGAAAAAGGATGTTTTTTGTTGCTGAACTATATTAAAGTACGTAACTTTAAAGTACTGAATTTCTTAAACCTCCTTTATTTTTGTAGCACRGCTCAGATTGTAATATCAGTGAAAAGTTAAAATTGTAAAATGGCCACTATTTTTAATGTTCATCAAATGTAATTCATCTTGAAGTCAAATTTATTCTTGTGTAGATACAGTCTCCCTCCCAAAATAGAGCAGGCTGGTGACTCACGTATCACTTCCACTTTGTAGGTGGCATTGATCTCTCCTGCTTTGTTAAAAACATGGCAGGTGTATTTCCCGCTGTGCTCCGGAGTCAAGTTCTTCAGACTCAGAGTCCACCTCTTCTTCTTTTCTGCTCCGGCGACGCTTTCCTCATCGACCAGCGGCCGGCTGTCTTTCAGCCAGACGATGTCGGGCCGAGGGTTGCCGCTCGCTGCACACTTCAGGCGCACGGAGCTGCCGACCGGGCGAGCGATGACACGTTTCCTCATCTTTGCTGGCTCGGTGAACCGTGGACGAACTGCGCAGAAGAGAAATTGACACTGATTAAAGGAGATATGTGCCGCGTCTAAATTTTGCCATCACTCAGCAGCAAGTCAGACAAAATTTGGTAAAAGTGAACAGTTATTAGTAAAGCTAAAGGGTTTATGGAGCAGGTTTATATTTATAGGCATTTTTTAAACGTCAGACCAGTGAAAGCTGGACAATGAGGAAAAATGTTAAAGTTCACTGAAATTCCAAAGTGACACTTTTATTAGATGCAGGGAGAAATAAAAACCATGGTATTTAACCAGACTGTGACACTGGAAAATAATTCACTGCTGTTTTAAACTTTTTGTTGTACAATTTCATTCTTTCTTAGAAAAGTAATAAAAATGTATTACTGTGTTAAAAAATAAAAGTTGTCAGCATGATGAACGGTTAATCTAGCAAACTCCTTATATATAACCATATAGTTTTATTTATTTATTCTTATTATTTATTGCTCTTTCTTGCTCTCTTAGATCACAAATTGGCATGTTATGCCCGCAGCATCTGGCTCATTAGCCATCACCATCTGGCCCACAGAAAGTCAATGAAACAATAGAAATAAAATATAAATCATTCTGCTTGCAAATACAAAATCTCTGCTTAAAAAAAAGGCATTTTGGTGCTTTTATTTTGAAGGCAAGCGGCTATTTTTTACAGCAGCCCCTGTGTTTTTGTGAAGCTTTATATTTTGAATTTTAAACTCTCAGTACGAATGATTCATATTTTTATGTCCAGTTGCAATGTCTAAACCTACTGCTAATGAAAATCACATTTAATTATAAATTTTATGTTTAGCAGATTTGAGTTTAACTTGGTCGTTGGGCCCCTCTGTGACTGTCCCAGTTCTGTATGGTAAAAAAAAACAGTTGCCCACCCATCTTCTCACTAAATTCAATGTTGCATTTCAATCCCCCTTTTCTGCCTGCTGACATCTGCAGCAGCCGCTGTGATTGCGAATTAATTTTCTGCCCTAAAAACATTCCTCACTGGTGCGTAACCTTCCCTTTGTGCGCTGTAAAATCAGTTTGTTTGAAGTTAATAATAATCTGGAACAGAAAACAGAAGCACATTGATGGCTGATGTGAAAAGGCTTCTGTTGCACCAAACTGACATGTGTTACTGTGAAATATGCAAACAAGAGAAACAGAATCAGGGATGAATCGATTAATTTAAGGGTCGAGTTAAGATGGAAACTTTGTGAATGAAGTGTGTCATWCAGACTGAGGTCATCGCTGCAGGCGGTGCCAGGAGTTCAGGATCTGTTGACATACGGCAACGTAATTCTTGGTTTATGCAAAACAATTTACTGCTTTGTTTCATATCYTTTTTTTTTTCTATGTAATAAAAAAGTCAGGCTCTGGAGCCGAACTAAAGGAAGACGAATAAAATAATTTTTTGGTCCATCAGTTCAGCTTCTTTTTTTAGCTCATATTTATTTCTTGTTTCATTTGACCTGAAGTCAAAAAGAAATAAAAGCCAAACATCAAAAACAGGAAACTAACAATAAATGCATATAACCTGCAGCTTTTCGTGACAAGAGACTAAGATCTTCCTCTGTTGAGAAACTGACATCAGCTGTGTCCAAATTTAGGGGCTGGGTCCTCCGAAAGCCGAATTTGTCGGCCGCTCTCATCACAGCGCCGCGCCCGAGGCTGTCCAAATTCGAAGACTYCATCGATGCGACCRACAAACGCGTCCTCTGTTTCCCCTGATTTGAAGGACAGGGTCCGATGGACCCTCCTCAGCCCACCATATCCCATAATGCATTGTGGGCCAACAGCAGATTTTTTTTCCGCTCGTAATGACAGAYGAAGCGAGAGAAAGGAACAGTTTTAAATAAAAATCCAGTGGTATAAAAATTAAATGTTTTAAGCTGTTGTGTTGTTGATGCTTTTGTCGTTTGTAAAGGCATAATTTTATCAATATTCTTGTCAGAAATCAAACGAGCTGGTATAGAGAAATAAACGTGCATGTATGACGTGACTCTTAGTTCTTCAAATATTGCCTTTAAGCTAATTTTGTTGTTTTATAATATTTATAATACTAATATATTAACATTGTGCTAATTTCAATCTATTTTTACTTCTGTTTAGCATTGTCACAGTTGATAGGCAACAGGAAGAGTTGTAAAGTAACTAAGTACAAATACTTTGTTACTGTACTTAAGTAGAAATTTTGGTTATCTGTACTTTACTTGAGTAATTAATTTTCAGCATACTTTTTACTTTTACTCATAACATTTTTACAATTATCTGTACTTTCTACTCACTACATTTTTTTAAAAAAGGTAAGAAGTAGAAAGTTGTTACTCCTATTTTATTCCAAGTTGTTATTACTTAAAAAATACTATCCTGATAAATTGTGTCTCCTGAATAAAGTGAATTTAATTATGGTTGGATGACAAGTATAAATATATACCATTCTGACAGCGTATTATCTTGTACACAACCCATCACAGCTGCACGCCGTTAGAAAAAACATTTTTTTTGGAGAAGTCACCTCCCAATAAATGTCATTTTGGAAAATCTAACTGCTCACTTTTACTCAGTACTTTTACTTTTAATACTTAAGTAGATTTAGTGTCAGAAATTTACTTTTGATACTTAAGTTCAAAAAATATCAGATATTTTAAGACTTTTACTCAAGTAATATTTTTAGAGAAGCCTTTAACTTTTACCAAAGTATTTTTATGATAAGATACTTGTACTTTTACTCAAGTATCACTTTGAGGTACTTTATACAACACTGGTAACAGGACATTTCCCAGGCTAAGGGTGAGAATTAGGCAAAAGACTAGACCATCCAAATTCACAGTCTTCATGGTCGACCAAGGACCTGGCCCACCTAGACCGGGTTGGCCGGTTCCGATGAAGGACCCAGCCTCTAAATTTAGACACAGCCATTGCTGCATTTTTGTGTCATAATGTCACATTCAAAGTATGTGTTGTGAATGATTTTCAGCTACTACAACCTCAAATTTTAGCTCAGTATCCATAAAATTGACTGAGTTGAGACCCTTTCTGTGGTTTTTCAGGTCAGCTGGCTGAGACAGCCATCTTAAATCAGGCTGACTCCAAAAACTTACCAGTTGTAGATGTGCATCAAAACTTTATCCAAGTTTCKATAAAATGTTCACTTTAAACAGTAATCACCGTCTCAGCATCACACTAAACACACCCACTCCAACAACCACTCTTAATCTATAAGACATTTGTTTTTCTTTGCAACAAAACAAAATGGCTGCACACCAGCCCAGTCTTATCCAGACCCATGAATCTTTTTAAACACAGATATCCTCCGAAAAATAAAAAATAAAAAAGGCACAACAATCAGTGAAAACAGATCAAAGAGGAGAAACCTTTCCAGTAGGGAGGGAGAAGAGGAAATCATTCACAGGAGCTCTTGATTTTATAGCCCCCATGTTCCAGCCACAGCAGATAGCCATCAGCCGGGACCATAAATCACCCCGAAACTACTGCAGTTGCATCTCTTTCTTTAGACACAGTTATTATTCTAGCTCTGGGTAAACAAATAGGGGGAAGAGTTATGTGACGGCTTTGTGCGCTCAAGTTGGGAGATTTCGCTCCGGCTGCATTACTCAGTGGAGTAAAGCTCTCTGACAACAGGCCCGAAGCTGGGCAGGATGACAAAACAAACATACCGGAAAGGCTTTTAAGTCTCGCCTTTGTGCCTTCTGAGTCTGAGAAAAGCTACTGGACTACAGCTGAACTGTGACCAGACAGAGTCAATAAATCTAACCCGGAGTGAGAAAAGCAATTCAGGGTTTATTGTTCGACTATGTTGATTGCAGAAATTTGGCATTGGCTGAAAATAACTGCGAAGCGGAGCCAAAACAAAGTTTACCGGATAAAGACCGAACATTAAGAGCTTAGCATTATTTGAAGAAAGGCACACCGCCCGTTGCTTCATAGCCATTTTGATCAAATCTTGATTAATCTCGTTATATTCTGCTATCCTATATCATCAGTTAGCACCTAGAGTGTTGTGAACGACTCTCAGCTACTGCCACGCTAAAGTTAACTTCGGCAGCCATCTTGAATTGGGTTSRCTTCAAAAGTTAGATGTSCAGCAAATGAWTACTTCCTGAAAATTCAYTAAAATAAGTTTGGCGCAAACGATGCAGACAAACTAATGCATGAACAGACGAAGCAAAAACATTATCGCACTGCTTTGGAGCAAAGGGTTTCTAAAATGAACTGATGAAGACGATCTAACCTGAACCAAATCAAAYGCCAAAAACAGCTGGGGAAAAAGAAAAGAGTTCACATCGAGGTCAGAACACAAGCGGGACTGACGGATTGCTAAAGCGAAGAGGGGGGGAAAAATTGAGAACAGAGATGGAGAAAGAGAATGAATAAAATGTAAAAGGTGAAAAAGGGGACGCACAAAGAGGCAGAMGGAAAGAAAAACACTGGGAAAGAGCGGTGACAGAGAGATGGTAGAGAGGAGAAGGTGAGAGCCAGAGAGAGCGAAAGGGCAGCTTGTTCTGGGTCTCGGGGGCCACTTCAACGCCACACTTCACAGTGTAAAAATACTGCTGACCCTCTGACTGACGCCTTTGATCACACAGTATGCCCGAGAGGGAGAGGGTGTATTAAAGTAAAGAGCCTTGTGAAACCCTACGTGGCTTTAAGAGACCAAGTTATCGGCTAGTTTTAGAGCTGCGCTAATTTTAGTTTATACGTTCCTGTGCATTAGCTAAAATGTAGCCAAAACCTGTCATTTCCTAATTTCAGTCTCAGAATATGAGCAATTTATTCTCTGCATTATATGGAAAAATGAGAGAGAAGCTGCAAATTATGTGATGACTGGTTTCAGGACTGGAAATAAATGAAGCATCAACAGAAGATGTATAAATGGAGCACTATTGATGATCACCAATCAGCTAACAATAAAAAAAGATTTCAAGGAAGTTAAAGTGCCTGTGACATGCCTATCCTTTAAATACAAAAAGTCAAAGAAAATATCTTTATACTTAAGAAAATTGGCATAGTACACATGATTTTACCCATTTTGTCACATATTTTCTTTTGAATTTGGCTCAAAGTGAAACAGGAAGTGACTTCAAAGAGTAACTCATTAAAATAAACTCTGGTTTTTGTTTATTAAAACAAAATTATTTAAACTTTCACCCTTATTTGCCTCTCTTTGATAGTGACTAAAAATAATCTAAAGAAACATCATATTCTTCTCTACAGTGTGTGTTGTTAGCTTATGTTACGATGCTCTGTTTACACGCAGATATTCTGACATCACTTCCTGTTTCTTCACATGCAAGTATCTCAACAACCGTTCATCTCAGCGGCGTGAAATTTGTTTAGCAACATGTTATTAATGTTACCGTTCCAAAAATGCATTCATGTTTATTTCRAAAATCTGATGTYACAGGCCCTTTAAAATCTTTCAGCATGTACAGTGCAAAGGAATTGTAGAATACTGAAATTCATGAGGCTGGGGTTCCTTCACAGAGTAAAAACCAAAACCAGAAACATTTCTGGAAGTGCACACCATCACGATCAACTCAAAACCACATCGGTTTGGAAGAACCTTGGAAAACAATTGTCACTAAAACAAAAAAGCTGAATTTGTATTTAGAAAGAAATGCGAAACTGTATTTTAAAGAAGGAAGGTATGTTTCAGATTTCAGCAGAAACACAGAACAACCTTAGACATAAGGACAGAGGCTTGATCTGTGGTCGGATAAATCCACTTTTGGCTCATTTATGGTAAAAAATAAATAAATAAATAAATAAATCAGGCTATCTGCCAAAGATGTGAAAAGAAAATCCAAGGTTTTACTAATAAAAAGTGCATAAACCAATGTCTGCGAGTGAGTTAACCCTAAACCTTAGAGAAGAAGCTGTTACCCAAACAGAGAGGAGACTGTTATTTTCTGACTCCACTTTAAAAGATGTCAACCTTGACTTTTTGAGTTCAAAAGCTGTAAAACAATGACAGATACTGTCAACAGTTAAMAATACTGGTGCCAAAATATGTAAACCTTGGCTTTTACTCATAAAAAATACAGTGTAAAAAAGAAGAAGAAGAAGAAAAAAACACATTATGGTTTGGCTGTTAATGCCATAAAACCTCCAGTGGTCATATAGAAATTTATTGGTCTGTTAATAAGATCTGAGAGGTTTTAGTATAAGTCTTTATTCTTCCTTGTGGCTGCAGATTGACACTTGGATCTTCTTGTTGTTCTTATTGGCTCCTGATCTCACCCAGTCTTGGATTGTTTGAGCGTTGATTTAAAGCTCAGTTATAACAACATCTATCACATGATGCTGAAACATTAAACTTCAACAGCTTAATATCTGTACTTGGCTGTTCGGTGCTTCCAATAAGCTCAGCTTGATCTGAATTAGCAGAGTTTCCAGAAAGTTAAATTTGGGACAAAGGAGACGAAGCTTGAAACGTGATACTGTATTACAATATGTTGTGTTTTATTAACTTGAGGGAGAAAAACATTCTCATTGTCAGTTTGGGAAGCAAAAAATGAACTATAGAAATTACATCTTTTAAAAGTTATGGGAATTTTAGTGCTGAATCAAAACAAGCAGAGCAAAGGCTAAAGCAGTCTAAAGATGCTAAATAAAAAAAGCTAAAAGTAATAAAACAAGTACTAAGCTTTGCAAAAATGTGCTTAAAATAACAAAACAGCAGCTAGAAGTAGCAAAAGACAAATTAAAAAAAGTATGAAGTAGCTAAAATTGGCAAAAAGTAGCTAATCAGAGAAAAAAAATGCTATCAGCTAAAAGTAGCAAATGAGAGATAAAGCTAAAAATAGTAGGTAAAAGCTAAAAGAAGCTTAAGATGAAACAGCAAGAATGCTGAAACAGATTTTAAAGATAATGTTTTTCAAGGAACTTCAGAGATCTCAGTGTATTTTTATGAGGGATTTTAGTTTAAACATTTTGAAATATTTTGAAAAGTATAACGGTTACAAAAAGTAAAAGTCATATTAAACATTGCTGACTCAGCATTCATATAGTGAGTATAAATAAAAAAAAGAGACATTTATGACAGAGGAAAGAACGAGGAGGAAAAAGTTACATTTAATAAAAGAAGAAAAGCGAAGACATGAAGGRCTAAGTAATGTGACAAGAGAGTATGAAGGGAGACTTGGGAGGAGGTGGGGGGGAGGAAGGAATTTGTCCCACCAAATCGCACCTCACACAAATAGACTGCTCTCCACTCTGTCAGAGCCAATTACTTACACAAACAGCTGCCCTCATGCACGTCTGTGCTTATTTGTGTGTCTGTGTGTGGTCATTGTACCCTCACTTCTTTCGCTCTGACAGTTTAAACATGTTTGTTGCGCAACATGCTCCGTTTTTTTTTTACATCTTATATTTTCATGTTCAAGTAAAGATTGGATCAAAGGATAAAAAATAAATAAATTGTGAATAGTTACCCAGTTTCCCGACCACCTCTGGAGCWTGCTCAGAGTCACCAGTGGCTGCTGTTCCTGCTCCATGTCTTGAACTGGAATCGTCTGGTCAGAAAAAAAAAAAAAATTTATTGCAGTTAGGTCAAAAAATACACTTTAGTTTCAGYATGTGCAAAAAGCAAATCAAAGAATGCATACAGCATATTGAAGATAAAGAAGAATTATCTAATTCTGCTGCTTTGACATGTTTGCTCATCATGAAAATGYAGGTTGATTTCTTTAAAATTGAAAGCAGGTACCTGCGAGTCAGGAGACGCGCATCAAATAAAAATGTAGTTCACCTTTTGAGCATCTCGCTCAAAAAGATCTTCAGGTTAAGAGCTTCGCAACAGTAKAAGTGACTAACGACGAGCAGTTCTAGTGAGGAATTCAAGCCAGATGGCTGTTGGAAGGTAAATATGGAGGTGTTCAGAGCAAAATCCTGCTCCAAACACCTCAGCGATCGTTAAACCAGAAGAACAAATGCTGCTGCCAACAAAGCTCCTACAACTACTACACGTCATCCATGTTTAACCTTTAAATCTTAAACTCCTGACAAAAACCTCTGAGAAAGCAGAATCTGAAATTTGGAGGAAATACAATAATAAAAAAAAAACATTCATAGTGGATTTGTTTAATCACACTCCACAGCAGAATCATATTGCTTCCAGGTGCATCGGGTTTTAGGTTTCCTTCCTCTGCATGTCCTCTCATACTGATTATCAAAAAAACATACAAACATCTGTGTGGACCTTCGTGTTTAGAAACACTTAAATATAGAGCCGGTGTATCCAGGGGGCCCTTTGCAGCAACAGTGAGGAGGTAGGAGGGTTGATGCAGTTTAATATCAGGTCTGTCAGAATACATGTGGGGATGGGGTACACGAACGCAGAAAAAYCTGACCTCAGTTATGAGAAAAAAAAAAGGAATCAAGCAACCTTGGACTAAAAGTGTGTTCAGTTGTAAATTAATTCTGCATGTTGGTACAATAATGATTATTGTGGGCTTTTAAAAGACCACCTAGAAGCTCAAAGTGCTTAAAGAAGTGCCAAACAGCTTTAAAGTATCACTATCTGGATGATCAAATAAAAACAGCAGATTGGAAAATGCAAATACGAGACGTGACAGGTATTATTAGCCTCCTCACATGGCTACGTATGTTGTTTAGACTGTGTGTTTGTGTGTGTGTGTGTGTGTGTGTGTGTGTTTGATGGGAATTACTACATGGGTGTGTCGTTGCATGTGTGGGTGCATGTGTCCTGGCGTTATTCCCGTAAAACGGTAACTCGAGGTGCCGGTATTCCCGTCAAAGCGCACTCATCTTTACCTCTTTCCCTCCCTCCCGCCACATGCACGGCGAGTTCTGAGAAAAGGGCCGAGCGTTTGAAGCCGAGCGGCACGAGGGGGTCTATTCTGAAGGTGGAACGTGGTTCAGCCCTCTTAGCAGAAAGCAAACCCTAACCCTGCCTCATGTGAGAGGCCAGTTTAGCAGGGAGGCTAAAAACGCGACACAAACGTTGATGTTTCAGTTTCTCCAGTCAAACGGAAATGCGATATTTGGTAAATAAAACGATTAGGTGGAGTTAATAATTTCTCAGGCGCTGCGCTTTAGATGCATTATTTAATGTTTCTGTAACTGTGTAAAAAGTCTGCTTGTGATTTTTGCTTTTAACAGTATGTGATTTATGTTTTTTTTTTTTTGTGCTTTTGACCACATAGTCTTTTGTATTGACAACCTCGGCTGTGTCCAAATTCAGAGATTGGCTAGCATCGTCACATTTGCTAGGGTGACAGGACGTACGCCAGGGTAAGGATGGTAGTCTAGACCGTCCAAAGACACAGCCACTTTTTTCCAGTTATCGTGGCCTACCGAGGGCCCAGCTAGGGCTGCGCAGTATATGCGGTAGACGGTAGAAACCAWATGAAGTCGGCCTACGGTAGAAATTCACCCTCTACCGTCCTGTCGTCAGTTACGTCATCTCACCTGTGTCAACACGGCTGCGAGTGCAGAGACAACTAAGCGGGAGGAGTTGGTAAAAAAAGAGAGAGTGTCAAGAGAGAGAGAATAAATCCTCAAAATTTCCCCATCCCGCTGTAGAAACGTTACGTCGTGTCGCAGGATCATTCCCCACCACCGAYTCTCCCGCTGCAAGTTGCGCAGAGCGAAGCATTAACAACCTTAGTTTTTTCACACTCAAGTTGTCGGAGAAAAAAAATTGTTTTTTATGTATCGTTACCCACAGAGATGATAAAAAAAGAGACGTTCAGTCATAAATCCATCTTGCTAACGTAACAGTCCGCTCAGAGCAGCAGCTGAGAAGTTCAGCAGACAGAAGCTTATTGTAGGGCAGGTCGATATTACATTTATTTGTCTTCACCACACCTACACTCCAGTTATCTGAAATTGTTTTACGACTAGGACTATGTGCAGCTTAAGGCCCTGTCACACTATAACATTTTAGGCAACTTATGCCAACTTCRAATTTTTTTTAATATGTAAATGACTAATTTTACTTGAAGTACTGGTTATAACATCCACTTTATTTTGATCTTGTTGAAAATTTGAGAAATGTTTTTTTGTTGAAACCGTTTTGCGATATACTGTATATAAAACCTTCTTTTGTACTTCTGTTATGTTCATTTGCACTACAGCAAAAATACTGGGTTTGATTATGATTACAGTTTTCTGCTAATTAAATGCTCAAAAATTACATTATCTTTGCTTTATGATCATTTTCTACCGCGATATATATCGTTACCGTGAAGGGATTCAATTTACACCGTGATTAAACTTGAGGTCATACCGCCCAGCCCTAGACCTAGCTAGTCTAATACTTACTTCCTTGTTTACTATGACATCATATCCGGGGCGGGACTCGACTCTGGTACAAAGCTGTGGATCATGTGCTGTTCGTGGCTTTTTCCTGAGTCTCTGGAGCCAGGGAAATGGACCAGATCTGAGTTATGTGTGGTAAACTCTACATGAGTCTAAGAACAGAATCAATTTCCGGCACGTAAATTGGTCTTGCATTTGAACATGATCATTCAGTAGTATAAAACTGTCAAAATGGGCCATTCCTGTGAAATACTTAAAATCTCATTGATCTCAAAATAAGGGCAGGATTTTCAAGGCTGACCGACTGTGCAGACCAGAGTTAGTCTCAGACTATAAACAAATACCAGCTGACKGCTCCATTATCACTGCACTGATGGATCTTTGATCTGAAGGAGTTCAGAGAGTGAAGCTCAGCGTGTTTTGGTTGTGTCTGTTATATAAGTGAAACTTCAAACACTCAGATGTAAAGTATTCTGAATATTCTGTGCTCATATTTGCACATTCGATCTCTGTTTTACAACTTTTTCTTCTCCAGTTTCTGCTTTTTTCCCCCCCACCCTCCTATTTGTTTTAATCTTACCCCCATTTGTTTCTCTCCTAATCTARAAGGAGGGAAATGGTTTAACAGTGTGCTACATTTCACACATTCGCCGCCTGGGTACCCCCGTGTGAGGGAGTGTGTTTGTGTAACCTCTTCTTGTATTTACTTTCAGGTCTGTAGAGAAAAGCCAGCGTTTTGCACATGAGCGCCCTCGGAAATACGAGTCCCCGCAGTCCAGTGAGTATGTGTGTGTTTGTACCTGAGAGCGTGTGCATGGGGCAGTGTTTTCTTTAACAAAAAAGGTCATGTCCTCCTAGTTTTATATGTTTTTTTAAATATAAAAATGCTGGATATGTATCCAGAACCACAGAGTATGCATATGTTAAATGATGTGGGTGTATTTGCAGGACAGAAGCTTGGATGTCAGCTTTAATCAACCGCCGCTTGCAGCAGCGTCGTGGCCAAAACCCGCAGTCCAGATGTGAGTTTGTGCATCTGACAAAACTCGTAAACCACTGTTAGTCTTCACAAATTGGCCACAGTCACAGTTTTAGGCTCTGCACAGCCACAAGTTCTTTCATGCACACACAATCTTTCACTTTAAAATTCAAACACCAGATTTGCATAACAATGAAAAGGAGGTACTGTTGAGTTAAACCTTCATCGCAAAATGATTTGTTTTWTTTTTTATTTTTATCCAAACAAATGGACACAGAAAGAACCCGAAACACCACAAATATCTTCTAGTATTACATGGAATGCATTTTGGCTCTAATTTTAATTCAATAAAACTGTTCAAGGATAGTATTAGGCTTTAAAGATTAAGTTTAGACATTGGAAACATTATTTGAGAAACGAGTCAGACCACAACGTAAATATGATAGCTGCTGCTTCCAACCATATCTGAAAGGTTCTGGATGTTTAAGATGTATTAAGGAGATGTGGTTTGTTATGATGCAGCAGATTTATGAGTAACGGGACATTTGATCCAAGCTGGTTTAAATGCTGCAATAAAGTGCCACTCTGTTTCTCCTATGTGCACCATAAAGGGTGATCGGTTTCCAATCTATCATTTTGTTGGGCAAAAATTAGGTTTTTTGTGGCACAAAGTCATGTTATCAATATTTAAAGATATCTCAAAGCTTGGTGTGGATGAAACCACATTGTGGTAAATGCTACGTATTTCAGTTTCAGCATAAATATTTTGGTTTTAGATGGTTTATTCATTTATTTATTTTGGCAGGTCTTTGTGGTAGCTTCTATTATATTCCACGGAAATTTGCTGAGTTGAAGATGCATGTTTGAGGTTTTTAATCAAGTAAAAACAAATAAAAAAGATGTGCTTGTTGCACCCAAAGACCACGGCTGTGACCAGTTGGGTTGACATTGAATACTATCTTTATGATGTCACAAATAAGCATCTCTGCTGATGCTTCCTCTCAATTTTATGGACAAAGCATAAAAATGGTGTGCTGTTCCAAATAAAAAAGGGCCATCTGGTCACCAAAGTGCTACGTCTGTAAAAACGTACAATGAAGCCAGGTTTGTTCACGACTTTTCAAAATAATTAGTGTTGAGAAAAACATAATTAGCAACAAAATTAAACCAAATTCTTGCACTTTGTTGCAGAAGATAAATTAAAAAATGGATAATTTCCTCACTCTTCACCTTGACGCTGTTCTCCGCTGA